CAAGGCTACAGCAACCAAAGCAGCATGGTACTGGTACCAAAACAGAGATATAGACCAATGGAACAGAACAGAGTCCTCAGAAATAATACCCACACATCTACCAGCCATCTGATCTTTGAAAACCCGAGAAAAACCAAAGAAATGGGAAAGGATTCCCTATTTAATAAATGGTGCTGGGATATTTGGCTAGCCGTAAGTAGAAAGCTGAAACTGGATCCTTTCCTTACTCCTTATATGAAAATTAATTCAAGATGGATTAGAGACTTAAATGTTAGACCTAATACCATAAAAACCCTAGAAGAAAGCCTAGGTAATACCATTCAGGACATAGGCATGGGCAAAGGACTTCATGTCTGACACACAAAAGCAACGGCAACAAAAGCCAAAATTGACAAATGGGATCTAATTAAACTAAAGAGTCTCTGCACAGCAAAAAAGAAACTACCATCAGAGTGAACAGGCAACCTACAGAATGGGAGAAAATTTTTGCAATCTACTCATCTGACAAAGGGCTAATATCTAGAACCTACAAAGAACTCAAACAAATTTACAAGAAAAAAACAAACAACCCCATCAAAAGAGTGGGCAAAGGATACAAATAGACATTTCTCAAAGAGGACATTCATACAGCCAACAGACACATGAAAAAATGCTCATCATCACTGGCCATCAGAGAAATGCAAATCAAAACCACAATGAGATACCATCACCAGTTAGAATGGCAATCATTAAAAAGTCAGGAAACAACAGGTGCTGGAGAGGATGTGGAGAAATAGGAACAATTTTACACTGTTGGTGGGATTGTAAACTAGTTCAACCATTATGGAAAACAGTATGGCGATTCCTCAAGGATCTAGAACTAGATGTACCATATGACCCAGTCATCCCATTGCAGGTATATGCCCAAAGGGTTATAAATCATGCTGCTATAAAGACACATGCACACGTATATGTTTGCTGCGGCATTATTCGCAATAGCAAAGAGCTTTGGAATCCAACCCAAATGTCCATCAGTGACAATAGCAAAGACTTGGAATCAACCCAAATGTCCATCAGTGACAGATTGGATTAAGAAAATGTGGCACATATACACCATGGAATACTATGCAGCCATAAAAAGGATGAGTTTGTGTCCTTTGTAGAGACATGGATGCAGCTAGAAACCATCATTCTCAGCAAACTATCGCAAGAACAGAAAACCAAACACCGCATGTTCTCACTCATAGGTGGGAACTGAACAATGAGATCACTTGGACTCGGGAAGGGGAACATCACACACTGGGGCCTATCACGGGGAGGGGGAGTGGGGAGGGATTGCATTGGGAGCTATACCTGATGTAAATGACGAGCTGATGGGTGCAGCACACCAACATGGCACAAGTATACATATGTAACAAACTTGCACGTTATGCACATGTACCCTAGAACTTAAAGTATAATTAAAATATAAATAAATAAATAAATAAATAAATCAGTAATCCCATTAAAAAGTGGGCCAAGAACACTAATAGACAATTCTCAAAAGATGACAAGTAGCTGATAAGTATATGAAAAAATGCTCAATATCACTGATTATCAGGGATGTGCAAATCAAAACCATAATTAGATATCATCCTATCCCAGTTAGAATGGCTATTACTAAAAAAACAAAAGAAAACACACAAGAAATAATAGATGCTGGTAAGGATGTGAAGAAAAGGGAACTCATATACTCTTGTTGGGAATGTAAATTAATACAACCATTATGGAAAACAGCATGGAGATTTCTCAAAAAACTAAAATATTAATAGAACTACCATGTAATCCAGCAATCCCACTACTGGGTATCTATCAAAGTAAAATAAATAATTACATCAGAGATACTTGCATTTGCATATTTATTGCAGCACCATTCACAATAGCAAAGATATGGAATCCACCTAAGTGTCCACAAACAAGGAATGTATAAATAAAGAAAATATGTTATACTATATGCATACAATGGAATACTATTTGGCCATAAAAAATAATGAAATTATGTCACTAGCAGAAACATGAAAGGAACTGGTGATCATTACATTAAGTGAAATACACAGACACAGAAAGACAAATACTGCATGTTCTCATAGGAGCTACAAAATTTGATGTCATTGACGTAGAGAACAGAATGATAGATTATCAGAGGCAAGGAAGGGTGCAAAACAAGATGCATGTTGGGAATATTTACCCTGATATATTCTTTTAGGACCTCAAATGCCAGGCTAACGAGTGTAAATTTACTTCCCTGTCAGTGGTGAGCCACTGATAGTTGCAGAGCAAGGTGCTAAGACAATTGTCTTTAAGAAATCTAATCTAACTGTCATGTTACCTAAATTGGTACTGAAGGTAAAGATATCAAGACAGTATTAAAATAATATGGCTACAGAGAGTGAACTAAGGCAGTGGGAAGGGAGAAAAAGGTGTAATGTTTAAAGACAGATCATAGGATTTGGCCAGTGATCGGATACTGGGGCACAAGGAGAGATGAAAAAGATTTCTCAGGGGCTTCGAGTCCCTATTACAAGAAACAGGAAACAGAAGGAAAAAGAAGAAAGAAAATGACTTGATATTACTTGAGGGCATAAGGAGTTGAAGTACAGGGCATCAAATTGCCTATCAGGTATTTGGAAATGCAAGATAAGAGGTCAGCAGTGGGATAAAAACAGAAATAGGACAATAAGGAAATTACTTACTATTTGTGCAGCTAAAATACTGGCACAAGTAAATTCTCATATTGAAAAATGCAAGCGTCACTACAATTGCTAGTTTACTTCTGCGGTGAGCAAGTCATAAATAATTAAACATCACTGGTCTTATCAAAGCCAAGAAGAATGCAATCTAATTGTTTTGAATCTAGCAATCTAGTAAATATTGTTTTAAATACTAGAAAACTTAACAATATAGTACTTCCTGTGAATTCTCCAAAACAAGCTTTCCTTAAATAAGGTCTACATAACTTCATAACACTCAGGAACAGAAATAACACTAGACTTTATTGGAAATTCTTCTTGTGGCACAGTACATTCAACATTAGGAGGTTACAAGGCAGATTCAAGGGAAAAGTATAGCAGATAAGTTTTTAGGCAAATGTTCCTAAACCTTTCTATTTGGCTTGCATTGCTAGATAACAAAAACCAGGCCAGGCACGGTGGCTCACACCTATAATCCCAGCACTTTGGGCAGCTGAGGCAGGCAGAGTACTTGAGGCCAAGAGTTCAAGACCAGCCTGGTCAACATGGTGAAATCCCATCTCCACTAAAAAAACAAAAATTAGTCAGGCATGGCACACTCCTGTAATCTCAGCTACTCGAGAGGCTGAGACAGGAGACAGGAGACAGGAGAACTGCTTGAACCTGGGAAGCGCAAGTTGCAGTGATCCGAGATCATGCCACTGCACTCCAGTCTGGGGGACAGAGTGAGACTCTGTCTCACAGATACACAGATAGACAGCAGGCAGGCAGACAGAAAGCAAATACCAAATGACAATGGGAACCTGCTTTAAAACAGCAATAAAAACCTTCCAAAGAGAATGCTGTTATGACTAATGCATAAACATGACTCTTCTCCAACCCAGGAAGAACGTTAACAGCAAATGAGATCCTGCCATTTAAGCAAATGCACCTAAGTGCTCTCAAACACAATGGGCCCTTGAACAACACAGGTTTGAACTGCAACCGAGTCCATCTATATATGGGTTTTCTTCTACCTTTGACACTTCGACAGAAAGACCAACCCTCCCTATTTCTCCTCCTCCTCCTCAGCCTACTCAAGATGAAGATGAGGATGAAGACCTTTATGATGATCCACTTCCACTTAAGGAATAGTAAATGTATTTTCTCTTCCTTATGATTTTCTTGATAGCATTTTCTTTTCTCTAGCTCACTTTATTGTAAGAATATAGTATATAATGCACATAAAATACATATATATGTTAATTGACTATGTTATAAGTAGAGCTTCTGGTCAACAGTAGGCTGTTAGTAGTTAAGCTTTTGGGAAGTCAAAACTTATACATGAATTTTCTACTGCGTGGGAGAGTGAGGGTGTTGGCACCCCTAATCCCTGTATTGTTCAAAGGTCAACTATATAAAACAAATTCTATTTCTGGCAACATGGTCAAAAACCAAATCCTAAAATGGACGAGAAAATAGGAAGAACAGAAATTAAATTATATTTTATCAAAAAAACAGCTATAATATAACCCAACCTGATTCATATCATCTCGAATGATAAAAATCCAACATTACAACATGGTTAATCATCATTAAAACATAAAATAAAGCATATATGAGACAGGCAAATTTCCATCTTTCTAAAGACTATTGTCTCAGAATAATAGTTCAGCAAACTGATAGTAATCAACATTCTGTATACCTTTTAAATAGTTTAAGAGCTAATGCTAGTTTTTAGTACATACAAGGGGAAAAGTGACTAATTTAAATATCTTTTGAGATAACCTATTCAGAATCTCTGCCATCATGCTAGGAAAAATAAGTTTCTATTCATTAATCATCCTCAGCTAACTTTCTACATGACATGCAAATGCACTATAGAGCAGTAGGCTGAATATACAGCAATTCCTAGGTGACAAAGGACTAAGAGAAAAGAAGCCAAATTACTTGTTTAAAGTGATTCAGCAAGTTAGCAGCAAATCCCAACGTTCCTTCTTCCAATTGTCACTACCTCCCATAAGCCAATCATTATCAAAACTAATCAAGACTGAATAAACACTTACCAACAAAGGAGGCAACAAACACTTAAGACCCCTAGACACAGATTTGAAATATCTCCAAAATTTTAACAACACAAAGGGCAAATTAAATGAACAGCTGCTACTTGTGAGCATCTTCCCACACTTCAAAATTCAAGCCAATACATCTGGATTTTATGCAACTATTTTCTTTCTTTCTACAAATGTCACACTGATAAATCTAAGAGTACTCTTCCACTGGAATACTTTGGTTACTTTCAGAACACCTTACCTGATCAAAAAGTTCAGTACCATCTGATCCTGCTGCTCTCATTAGTTCATCTTCTCCACCAGGATGATACTCCATATAAGGGCTGACATTATAAACGAAACCTGTATCAAAGCAAGCAGAAAAAATATCCTAAATGAACTTCTCAAAAATTGTAAAACAGTGAGCCGAGATTGCGCCACTGCACTCCAGCCTGGGCGACAGAGCGAGACTCCGTCTCAAAAAAAAAAAAAAAAAATTGTAAAACTTATAAGTAAAAGTTTCAATGAATCTTTCCAAATACATTCCATTTAATTAATCACTTTTATTTCAAAGTATCAAGAACTAACTGTAAAGGATCTGAGATTTCATCATATTTGCAAGCAAACAACTTAACCTGCCACTTTCATGGGTCCTAGCAGATAACAAGAGACTCCTAGGTCGGAGACAAAGAAGAGTTTAGCACCCACATCAATAGCAGTAGTCAGAATATAAGCATTTGTGTCAGTTTGCTGAACCCAAATTCCCAAGAGTGCTATGTGAAGAGGGCCAGGTAATACCTGCACACTCAATGTGCTGCATTATAGGAGAGGAACTCTTGAGCTCAGGAAACTTGAATCTTTTATAAGCATGCCTGCCCTTGTTCCTGAGGGAGATATTTACTATACAGAAGAGTAAGCAAATCTGTGCTTTGTTCTACAGGGAGACAGTAACATTCAAGGTTGTTCACAATGCAAATATCCTTTAAAAGATTGTCCAAAAAGACAGTGCCTCTGCTCACAAGACGTGCAGAAATGCAAAAGAAAATTGCCTCCCAACACAAAGAAATGAAATACTGTGTATACAATCTTTGAAAGTACACACACACACACACGCAGAGAGAGAGAGAGAGAGAAAAAAGTAACTACTATATAGTCATAACATTTCCACTATTGCCCTGGTAGAAGAATCTGATGAAAAAAGAATCAAGCTCTAATCCATGTTTCTGATCATCTCAGCAAAGGTTAAGCAACGGTGACCACTTAGGCAAGCTCTGTGAAAAGGAAGCCCAACTCTTCACAAAGATTATTATTCAGATTTTAATCTTTTTGTCTTCTCCAAGTATTTATTTCATCTTTTCAACTGTTATTTATTTTTATGTTTTAAGAAAGAGGAATAGGGAACAACAAATACAAAATATCTCAATGCATAGCTCTCCCAAGGAAGTTGCTTTTTCATTCTTGAAAACTAGATAGATACTAGACAAATCTAGCCCTAAAGATATCACAAAAGTGCAGTAAGAACAACTGGTTTTAAAAAAAAATATCCAGGACTATTTCCTCTTTATATGATGACTTTCATGAATTTAAATAACCTCAGATAACTTAAAATGTTCATCCTATACAACAATCTTGAAAGAAAAGAACGGGTTGGATTTCAGACCCAAGAAAAGTACTGCAGTTTTTTGACCAGCGATATTTTAGAAAATAACCAACCAGTCCAGATTTCTCTATAAAATCTCTTAAAGGTAAGCACAAAAGGAAGTAAATCCACAGAATTTCTTTCAGCAGCATTCCAAATAAGTCTGAACCAAACTAGTTAAGCTCCCTCTTTTTCCTTCCCCATATGCCTAGAGTCCCACAAGATTTAGAAGAATTTTTTCCCATTGTTTAATGCTCCAAAATCCAGAGACCAAAAATGTGAGTGGTAATGACTAGGATCTGAATTATTCCCAATAGGCTTTTTAAGAGAGGATGCCTCCCCAACAAGAGTTCCAAGCTTTCTCTACAATCAGTTCCTGACTGGAGTTGCTACAGTTTCTCAAGAACAAGAAATCTACAACCCATGGTCATTTGTGATGGAATTTCATGAGTTTCAGCGACCAGCTTTTCTGGCAGCTTAAACAGCTATCCATGATGAGCACATAACGCCTTAAACATTCCATACATGTTCTCTGCTAACCTGCTAGCCCTTTACATTTATCCTTACACTGTCACAGTCTTGTCTTTCTTTCTGATAGGGGCTAGGATCACTCTGTGGATGTGAGGAGCATCCCATCCTTTCCAGATGAAAAAAGCTAGGAATGTCTATTCCCTACTACAAGGAATTAACACTGTTAAATAGTGTCTCAGTCCAAGATGCATTAGATCAAAAAGCACTCAGCTGTGTTAGTAATTTGCTAATTATGAAACTTAAACCTAGTCCCAAAACAGAACAGGTGCACTTCTTTTGATTCAGAGCCTCTTCTTTGCTCTTTCTCTCCTTCCTTCTTATCTCTCATTTTTCCTTTTCAGAAGTATTTCCGAACAACTAAAAACTTAGACCCCTGGATGTGGCAGAGAAATACAAACACACAAAAAAACAGACTTTATGCTTTTTCTTCATGCTTTATTATATAGGAGTACCTCAGAGATACTGCAGGTTTGGTTCCAGACCACTGCAGTAAAGCAAACAACACAAGCTACACTTATGCTTTGGTTTCCCAGCGCATATGAAAGTTATGTTTAGGCCAGGCATGGTGGCTTATGCCTGTAATCCCAGTAGTTTGGGAGGTCAAGGCAGGAGGATTGCTTGATGCTAGGAGTTCAAGACCAGTCTGGACAACCTAGTGAGATCCTGTCTTTACAAAAAAAAAAAAAAAATTAGCCAGGCATGGTGGAGTGTGCCTGTAGTACCCCTGCTACTCGTGAGGCTGAGGTGGGTGGATAGCTTGAACACAGAAGTATGAGGCTGCAGTTAGCCATGATCATGCCACTGCACTCCAGCCAGAAAAACAGTGAGGCCCTGTCTCTAAAATAAATAACAGATGTTTATGCTATATTGTTGTCTATTAAGTGTGTAATAACACTATGTCTAAGACACTAATGTACATACCTTTATTAAATACACTTTGATACAAATGCTAATATCGTCTGAGCCTTAAGTGAGTTAAACAGTTTGCTGGTGAAGGGTCTTGCCTTGATGTTGATGGCTGCTGACTGATCAACATGTTGGGTACTTAAGGCTGAGGTGGTTGTGGCAATTTCTTAAAATAAGTCAGCAGTAAAGCTGGCCATTCAACTGACTCGACCTTTCATGAGAGATTTATCTGTAGCATGCAATGTTGTCTGATAGCATTTTACTCACAGTAGAACTGCTTCCAAAACTGACGTCAATCCTCTCAAACCCTGCTGTTGTTTTACCAACTAACTGCATGTAATATTCTAAATCCTCTGTTGTCATTTCAACAATGTTCACAGTATCTTCCAACAGGAGTAGATTCCATCTCAAGAACCACGATCTTTGCTCATCCCTAAGAAGCTACTCTTCAACCATTCAAGTTTTATCACACAGCAATTTCAGTCACATCTTTGGGCTCCACTTCTAATTCTAGTTCTCTAGCTGCTGTCACATCTACAGTGACTTCCTCCACTGAAGGAGGAACCCTTCAAAGTTACCCATGAGGGTTGGAATCACCGTCCTCCAAACTCCTATTAATGCTGATACTTTGACCTCCCCTCATAAATCACAAATGTTCTTAATGGCCCAGGATGGTGAATCTTTTCCAGAATATTTTCAATCTACTTTTCCCAGATCCATCAGAGGAATCACTATCTATGGCAATCATAGCCTTATAAAATGTGTTTCTTAAATAACAAAACTTGAAAATCAAGATGACTCCTTGATTGATGGGCTGCAGGATGGATGCCATGTTAGAAGGTGATACAGTCTGTATAAGCCCAAATCTCATGTTGAATTGTAATCCTCAGTGCTGGAGGTGGGGCCTGGTGGAAGGTGTCTGGATCATGGGGGCAGATATCTCATGGCTTGGTGCTGTCTTCATGATAGTTCTCACAAATCTGGTCATTTAAAAGTGTGTGGCACCTCCACCCCCCCTCTTTCTTTTTCTTGCGTCTGCTTTTGCTATGTGATGTGCCTGCTCCTGCTTTGCCTTCTGTCATGAGTTAAAGTTCTCTAAGACTTCCCCAAGAAGCCGATGCCAGCACTGTTTCCTGTACAGCTTGCAGAACCAGGAGCCAATTAAACTTTTTTTCCTTATATACACCTAGTCTCAGGTATTTATTTACAGCAATGCAAGAACAACTTAATAGAGAAGGCATGATGTACACTGCTATCAGACCTCTTGGGTGACCAGTTGCATTGTCAATGAGTAATAATTTGAAAAGAATCTTTTTTAATGAGCAGTAGGTCTCAATTCTGAGCTTAAAATATTCAGTAAACTATGCTATAAACACTGATGTACTGTCATCCAAGCTTTGTTGTCCCATTTATAGAGCACAGGCAGGGTAGACTTAGCATAATTCTTTAGGGCCCTAGGATTCTTGGAATGGTAAATGGACACCAACTTCAAGTCACCAGCTGCACTAGGCCTTAACAGAGAGTCAAGACTGTCCTTTGAAGCTTTGAAGCCAGGTATCCCCTCTCCAGCTGTGAAATTCCTACATGGCATCTTCAGCCAACAGAAGACTAATCTACATGGAAAATGTGTTGTTTCATGTATTCACCTATATCACTGATCTTAGCTAGATCTTCTAGATAACTTGCAGCAGTTTCTACATCAGCACTCGATGCTTCACATTGCACTTTTATGTTATGAAGGTGGCTTATTTCCTTAAACCTCATGAACCAACCTTTGCTAGCTTCTAACTTTTCTTCCACAGCTTCCTCACCTCTCTCAGCCTTCCTAGAATTGAAGACAGTTAGGATTCTGCTCTAAATCAGGTTTTGGCTTAAGAGAGTTGTGGCTGGTTTAACCTATCCACACCACTAAAGCTTTCTCCATATCACCAACAAGGCTGTTTTGCTTTCTTGTATCATTCATATGCTTACTGGGATAGCACTTTTAATTTCCTTCAATAACTTTTCCTTTGCATTCGCAGCTCAGCTAACTGTGTGGCACTAGTGGCGTAGCTTTCAGCCTTTTTCAGCTTTCAACATGCCTTTCTCACTAAACTTAATCATTCCTCGTTTTTTATTTGAAGTGACAGATACACAACACTTCCTTCACTTGAACACTCAGAGGCCAATGTAGGGATATTAATTGTCCTAATTTCAATATTGTTGGGTCTCAGGGAATGGAGTGGCCCAAGGAGAGGGAGAGACAGGAATTGTCAGTCGGGGAAGTAATGAGAATATACACATTTGT